CCTGGTCCCTGCAGCCAGGACAAAGCCATGAAGCCGGCGCTGCTGGAAGTGATGAGGATGAACAGAATTTGCCGGATGGTGCTGGCCACTTGCTTGGGATCCTTTATCCTGGTCATCTTCTATTTCCAAAGTATGTTGCACCCAGGTAGGGGGCGCGTTAGCGTGGTTTTGTTGGATATTTTCTTCTCGCTCGCTCGCTCCGCCTGGTTTCTGCCTCTTCCACCCTTACCCCTTCTTCGGCCTCTTCTGGGCTTGGTGCGCCCGGGTCTTCCCGGGTCTCGGAGTCGAGATGGGGAGGAGGAGGAGTGTACTGCTCTCCTTCCTCCGGCGCTGGACTGGAGGATGGGACCTCGAGGGGCCGTAGTTTTTTTATCCTTCTTTTTTTCTTTGTGTCCCTTGTCTGTCTGTCTGCGAGATGGCAGGGAAGGCAGAGGTGTGGGAAGCTGCCAGGGTGGTGGGTTGGTTTGAGCGGCACGAAACTCCGGGCTCTTGCCGAGGTCTGAGGATGAAAGGCGCCGGGAGTCGGCCGGCTCTGCGCCCAGGCGCGCCGCCTCTTCCTGGATGGGGGCCGGGGGCGAACGGTGCACGCCCCGGCGACGTCGCGAGTCCCTGCAGCGGGCCGGGGAGCTCGAGGCTAGACTCGCACGTGTCCCGGGCGCTGCGCGGCGCGGAGCAGGTGTGGGGAGAGGTGGGTGTCCCGCGCTGCCTACCCCCCGTCCCATCTGTTTGCAAAAGACCCCAGGGCCCAGCCATGCAGTGACCCAGCCGTGCAGTTACCTTGCGGCTGGCGCCCCAGGGCTTGCTCCAGCCGCTGCACACCCCTGGCATCCCGAGCTGGGGACTCTGAGCGCCTGGGTCACGCCTTGGTGCGGCAGTTTTGGAGGAAACTTTGGCCAGATCCTGGGCTGCCGGTCGTGTTGCATCCCCCGCTCTTGGGTTCCGAGCACCCGGGGTTCCCCCGGCAATGAGGGAATGGCTGCTTCTTCCCGTCCCCCACGGTGCAGGCAAAGTTCCACACCTGAAGTCTGGACTGGGGAAGGGACAAGGCCCGCCTCTTCCGAGGGGCGCGGAGGAAAGTTTGGGACCTGGGGAAGGAGGGGCGCCCTCGAGCGCCGCGGCCTGGGGTTCGCAGTTGGGCCCCGAAAGCCCAACAGGTAGAGTATTACAAGCAGCCTTCCGGGGTAACGCGAGGTTCTCCGCCGAGCTTTGGGCTTCCCCCTTTCCCTGCATTTCCTTCCATCCAGTAGCCCCCACTCGGGCTACGTTGGTTCCGAAATCCATGTTTTTCACTTCGGAGTTGGCTTTCTCAGCGTAGTCACAGCAGTCATTTGCTTTTCTAATTGCAAGGAGGAGGGAGGTGGAAACACATTTTCTTCCAGGGAAATGGGGCTGGTGTTTTTTATTTTGCCTCCCCGCCTTCTCCTTTCAGTGCGTATCTAACACTTTCTGCAGACGCAGCTTTCCATCAAGCCGGCAGGGCTGCCGCTGCGAGATTCCTTGACAGCGCAGGGACCAGCGGCCCCTCGGCCCTGTTTGGCCTGGACCAGTTGTTAGGGCGGCCTGGCTGCCAAGGCTATGGGCAGACACTACCACATGTAGCCTCAGGACATCCGATCCAGCCCTGTAAAAGATGGCTTTTGTTTGCAGCTGGGTATTTTTAGTTTAATGTCAGCAAACTGCAGTAGTGTTTGTCTCTTCACCCAAACCTGCGGTTGTAAAACTTCTAAGGGAATTTAAAAATGGACCTCGCTTGCATTCCGGGAGCCGGGCGGTGGTTGCAGCTGGCTGGACCAGACAGACGGGCATCTCAGAGTGCCAGACTCCTGGGGCCACCAGAGATCAGACCATCCTGGCCCCAGAGGACTAGGATGGAGAAAGCAAGCAGATACAGTGGGGTTCAAAGAGCTCAGACAAAGGGCTGGATGATTTGGTCTAGACCCTGGAGACATGTTTGAGCCTCTGAAAATTTTGCTGGGACCTTGCAGGTTAGGTCATTCTCTGCTGA